ACATAACCTGACATAACAGCTCTAATTCCCTGCTTTTGCTTGGTGAACAGAGATTCAATGTGACATTTTGAGGCAAATCCCCACACTAAAGAACAGAAATTTAGATGGGATTGGATAAGGCTTTGGAAAATGTTTAGGCGGGCTTTGATAGGTAGAAGGTGCTTTAGCTTATACATAACTCCGAGGTAGCGACCCATCTTTATTCTAACGGCCGTAATGTGTTTTTGCCAAGTGAGCTTTTCGTCTAGGATCACTCCTAAAAATCTTGCTTCAGTCTTACGTTCGATTACAGTGTTGTCAATGGACAAATTAAAGCCGCTGAAGTCGATTCTTTTTCTAGTGAAAATCATGTAACACGTCTTTTTTACATTTAAAGATAGCCCATTAACACCTACCCAATCTACAAGACGTGAAATTAGCTGATTAGCTTTTAATTGTATTTCTTCTAGGGTGGTTCCACTAATTAATATGTTTGCGTCGTCGGCATAAAGGATGAACTTTGCAAAATCACTAATTCCAGGTAGGTCGTTTATATAAATTACAAATAAGAGAGGTCCTAAAATGCTACCCTGAGGTACGCCGTAAACTATGGGCATGCTAGAAGAGCAAGTTCCGTTTAAAGTTACGTATTGAGATCGATTACAAAGGTAAGATCTAAACCATTCGTGCGCGACTCCCCTGATCCCATAATGGTCAAGCTTCTTAAGCAAGGTCTCATGATCAAGCACGTCAAAGGCTTTACTGTAATCGAGCAGGAGCAGTAGGGAAATTTGTTTCTTATTCAGAGAGTGTAGTATGGAATTTTGGGCATTGAGCAGTGCATGTTCGCACGATCTTCCTGGCCGAAATCCGTATTGATTTTCGAAAAGAGAATCGTTCTTATCTAAAAATTCTAAAACACGAGCATGCATAAGTTTCTCATAAATTTTCGAGAATGATCCCAAAAGAGAGATCGGCCTATAATTAGCTACTTCCAATTTTGAACCACCTTTGTGGATAGGAACGACTTTCGCAGTTTTTAGAGCATTTGGGAAGGTACCACTGGAGAACGAACAGTTAATGACATTAGCTAGTGCCCTGGTAAAGTTTTCGCAGCTGTTTGCAATTTTCAATGGCTCAATTTTACAATCGAGTGTGGACTTGTTCTTAAGCCCTGATATTATCTTTTGGACTTCACCGTGTGATGTAGGCTTAAGAAACATCGAGTTACTACACGAAGCCTTAAGAAAATGCTTGAAACCACCTGGGTCAAAGGTTCGACGGGCAGCGATTTGCCTCTTGATACTGGCTGCAATACCGGAGAAGTAGCCGTTAAATTTCTCAGCGACTGCCAGATCGGAGCTTATAATCGTGCCATCGTCGTCCTTCAGACGGGTGTGTCCGAACTTTTTTCTGTTACGGTTCAGGAGGCCATTGATAATTTTCCATTGACTTTTAGAGCAGTTTTGGTATTTGTCAAACATTTTTTTATAGTACTTTTCTTTGGCTAGATTCACATGTTTGTGACAAAACTTTTTCATTTTATCATACACGTCGCAGTTTTTTTGTGATGGATTTATAGTTTTTTCAAAAAAAAGTAACTTCTTGCGGTTGCATGCCGCCTCAAGCCAGGGTAAGATCCAAGGCTTTGGGTCAGCTCTTTCGAATTTTCTTCTCGAACTGTCGCGCTTCAGGGGGTATGCAGTATTGTAGTGTTTCATGTACGTTTGATAGATGGAATTGTATTGTTCATCAGCGCACGTTGAGGAGGTAGCATCATCCCAGGTCTCACTTACAATAAGCTCTTTGAATTTAGCATGATTAGCTTCGTTAAATACACGGGCCTCTAATTTCAAGCTAGTGTTGTTGTTCTTTACACGTTGACTACGGAATCGCTCGTTCAAACTAGGTGTGGCTCCTAAACTAATGGTCGTGCTAACCGCGAGATGATCTGACATATCCAACGTCACGACATTACAACTAATAACGTTTGTCACGTGATTAGTATACACGTGATCAATAAGCGTTGCACTGTGGTCAGTTACCCTGGTAGGCTTGGAGACAGTCTGGGCAAACCCATATTTTTCTAGTAAGCTTATAAGATCCTGGCTGTAAGCGTCGGTATCGTATTTTATAAGATCAATATTTGCATCACCCAGGAAGACTATCTGCTTTCTGGAGTGTCTATCAAGACCCCTGAGCACGTTTTCAAACTTTTCAAGGAATTTTTTAGGGCTTGTGGATGGCGAGCGGTAGAAATTTACGATGATTTTTGTCTTATTTCCGTTTTTAAAATTGTTGATTTTAAGCAATTGAAATTCTCCGCAAGTAACTTCTTCTGGACTCAGATTGAGTTCGAGTTCCTGTATTTTATCGTAATCACAAACGCGTTTGTTAACATAGAGCGCAAGACCACCTCCTTTTCCAGATTTACGTGCAGGTTCTTTGATAAAGGGCTCGTAAAACTGTTCGATTTCAATGTCGTTCAGACCATTAGGAAGATTAGAAATTTTACAGTTGGTTTCATTGAGGCAGATGAGGTCAAATTTGGAGAATGTTTCTATTTCTTCACTAAAATTTGAGATATTCTTCACGAGTGATCTTACGTTTAACGAAAGTATCTTAAATTCGCGATTGCTAGGGGTCTTGATATTATCAGGGTGTTGGTACTTACAGCTAACCAATATCTCCGATATACAATTGTTGAGATCGATTTCGCTGGAATCTATTTCATCAGTAAGTTCGCCTATTTGATTCAGTACGTGAGAACGAATATAGGGGTTAAAAGTGGGGGTTATTGTATTGTAATTATCATTAAGTTCATAGGAAGTTACTCTATAGCCAGGTATTAGGTTTAGACAGCATGTAATACAACCAAGATAATCTTTGAGGCATTTTTTATGAACTGGTTTGTCACATACAGGACAAATGAAAACATTTCTAGGAGCATAAGACCACCCGAAGCAACTTGAGCATTGTGATTTGAAACTAGGTTCAACCATTGTTCAAGATGTGTAAATACCAGATATCTGTGAATAATTAAGTAAGATATTAAATAGATAAGAGTGTATAGTATGGTGTATAGAATAGCTTGTACAGTCTAAGAATATGTATAAAAAGCTAATGTGTGTGCGTGTGAATGAATGAGGAATAAACTGTGTGCTGAGAAAGCGTAAAGATGAAAAAGAAAACTTGTTAGACCTACCTATCAAGAACTATACAGCTCTGTGTGTAGATAGAATCGTAACGTAGTCTACAATATTACAATATTACGATAGCGGTACTGATTTCAGAACTATTCTAAAGTGTTTAAAAAACTCGGGCAAGAATTCTAGTAACTTACGATAAGCTGATAAGAGCACGGGCATGACTATATATTTTCATGCGAGGGTTTCCATTATAACCATAAGATGTAAGCTATAATCCCTTAAAGATTTTGTAAAAATTTTGTGAAAATTTTGGCGCGGCAAGTATAAGTAGTAGGCTGGGGTACGGCTTTGTGAGTTTGTATTTAACCGTTAGTTACCAGGCAAGAGCGAGACAAACTCCCGCCTTAATGGCCAGTGCTTTCGAACTTTCTCGCTTCGCATAGAGAGTTTTTGAACACCGGTCACCAGACAGTTAGCTATCTCACTCTTGGGCAGCTGAGTAATGTGAATCCCATTTCCAGATCTATCTAAAATCTCAAACCCTTTGTTAAATATCACACTACAAATATGGTGGGAGTCGAAAAACCAAAAGTTACGATTTTCGATCAGACTAAAGTCAAACATGCAGCGGTTAAACAAATCAACCTCCTTATTTAACCATGCAAATCTCGTTCTAAGAAGGGAGTTGAAAACAAACACTGTTTTTGGATATCTAGCAAACAAGTAGTTAAAATTGTCCCTAATTTCACGGGAAAGTGTATAGCTTCTATGGTCATATCTCGACAAATCATTAATACCGGAAGATATAATCACATAATCGCAGTTTTCAAAAAAATTTTCAAACTTCATTAAGAGATATTTATAAGCGTATTACGGGAGAATAAAGGAGACAATATAACGATTGGAAATATTAAGCCGGGTGTATACGGCAGTATGGATGAATTTAACAATGACTCTCGCTGACTCGCTCGTGTGCTGTCAACAATATATTCTAAAAATGAGAACATTGTTCCATTGACCATTTTTGTCTCTATGTTCTTGTTGGTCTTGTGCAAACACCAACTGCAAACATAAAATAAAAAGGAATGAGCTACAAAAATCAATAAATTAATGACATGCAACAAAAATTTACGGAAAAAAGATTGGACTGTCAGAACTTGTATTATTACTATAGAAGTTGCTATGGTGACCGAGACTCCTAAAGAACACTACATAAAAACTGAACAACACTACATCAAAATAAGAGCCATCTTTTAACTGAAAATAATTACATTTGGATGATAATTAACTTTTATTAAAAAATGATAGCTGAAAAATATTTGATCGGTTAATATTATGTATCGGGTAAAAATTGGATTGCAAAATTGCTGATAGGTAGAAAAAGTGAGTGACTAAAACCATGGCGGCAACGATTATTTACGCTGAACAAATTTCAGTCGGCAAGGTACATAATTATTTAACAGTTAACACATCAAACAAACTGCCTCCCAAACAAACCTGCACAACAGGAGAGTGTACCCGGCCCCCTCCCCTCAACAAACTGCCTCCCCAACAAACTGCCCCCCCCCCCTCCCAGTGGCGTAACGTTGCCTGTTGGCGGCCCCCCCGAAAATGCGCCTCCTTGTTGACGTTGCACCCCTCCCCTTTTGGCGCCCCTCACTAAAATTGAATAAATTAGGTGATTTTAGAAGATACGCCGGTAAAATCTCTAAAAAAGTGTGTTTCTAGAGCAAAACGCGCAGTTTTGCTAGTAGTAGTACCTCAGTTAAGTTTTTCAAAATTGTTCCACATTCAAACGACGATTTTGCGCCCCCCTCAGATAGCCCCCCCCCCCCCCCGGCCCCCTCCCCTCAACAAACTGCCTCCCCATAGGTGCACAACAGGAGAGTGTATAGACCTGCGTAAGTTATGTGATGGTAAATGTGACTGTTTGGACGAGAATGTCTGTGAGGATGAAACTCTCCTCTGTTCTGATTCTCCTTTCCAACAACAGTTCCTATTGGTGTCAGGTCAGTTTTGTTTAATCCCAATTACGCAATACGCATAGTATATTGTTCTCGGGTTGCTATAGAGTTTTTATGGTATTTGAGCAGTTACCACGAATAACATTATGGTTGTTTTCTTTGATTTGTTGTAAGTTTATGGGTTACTACCTCAGTGTTTGAGTTAGTAGTTTTATTTAAATTTCTAATTTTTAAAACTGCCCTTTTGTTTTTAGAGCAAGCTGAAGCAGCGTTAGAGAAAGCAGTTGAAAAACTAAAAAAAGCTCTTCAATCAGGTAACGAAACATACGTCTCTCAGCTGTGAGTCGTTCTTTTGAGACCAGCAAAGGATCTCCGTCTCTTATCTTGATAACAAGATTTTATTTTTCCATGCCCATGGTCGCCTGTTAGAAATATTGTTAAATTCCAGTTTCACAAACAGTCAGTATATCATGACTTATCTCAAATCCTTAATTGTTTTGTAATTTATTTTTTATTTATAACTCGTTACTTGCACTATACTGAACAACTTACACTATTCAAACACTCAAAATAAGACACGATCGAATTTAAGGTAAGTTAATAGAAAAAGTAAGATCACAACTTGAAACGGACTACATTCAAAGTTACAACAAAGAAGGCAGGAGTCCGAGCACATTAAAACGATGACCTCACACTGTCACAGATAAAAACGTAGATAAGACCGGCGTGCGTAAGTCTAGTACTACTACTAGCAAAACTGTGTTTATGGGTTACTAACTCAGTGTTTGATCTTGAGTTAGTAATTTTATTTACATTTCTCATTTAAAAAACTGCCCTTTTTAGAGATTTTAGAGGAAGCTGAAGCAGCGTCAGAAAAGAAAAGAGAATCTCAAGTATCCTCCTCAGCAGACAATTTTGAAATTGCCCTTAGCTTCGTGTTGTTCATTACATATGGATTATGCTACATTTTGGACTAGACTTCTCCCTTACAAATATTTTTTGCCCAAATGAACTCATCAGTACATTTTGCAAGGAGAAAATGTTTTCATCACAATATTACTGTTTGTCGGCCAGGCTCCTTGCCATGTCGGACGAATCCATTTTTCGGTACAATTTGGAAAACCTGCACTCTTAAAGTATCTGTTCATTCAAGAATGAGTCGTATATTTTGATGAATTTTGTGAGTGTTCATATTTAGTCTTACATCTTGACAGTTGAAAATGTGACTTGTTATGTTTTAATGTTTAATACAGATATAAATTTCTGTCCATTGCATGGCCATCTTGATCTCTTTGATTTGCTATTCGGTCTGATTTGACTAAAAAAGACTTAGTACAGAAATAACAAGTGAAGACACCCTCTCAATCTTTAACTCATATTTCCATTTCATTGATACTTTTCAAAGTTAATGGTTCGCTTTTAGTAACCTAAAGTTCCCTCGTATAACCTAGGAATTAGGATGGTTATAGTTGTACTACTTCTCTTCTCCTCGATAAGACTGAGTCACCCTGCTCCTCCCGATCCTGCTCTTATAAAACAAGCTCTCAAAACATTCGAGGTTTGCTGTTTTTAATTACTTACTGCTGTAATTACAAGTTTTTTATTTGTAATTACCATGCTGTAATGACAATTTGATTAACTGTGTTGATTATGGTATTATGTGCATGTTGTGTACGTTGACCAAGATTTCTACCCTAAAAAGTATTATTTCCACACTATAAAATATTATTTCGCGTTATTTTATAAGAATACATCAATTATATTATTTATAATCTAAAATTGACTTAATTTATCCATTTATCATATTTTCCAGAGCATGCGGTCAGTGTATCTGGATCTTGGAATACTCCCATCCGAGATAAGCAGTAGAGTTGATAACTTTGTTCGCAACTATGTCCGCTATGTTGGTATGCTCTTATGCTGTTTATACTTTAGATATATTCTGTATACACTAATAGTCTATATTTGACGATTCATCCCAGTGGCGTAACGTTGCCTGTTGGCGGCCCCCCCGAAAATGCGCCTCCTTGTTGACGTTGCACCCCTCCCCTTTTGGCGCCCCTCACTAAAATTGAATAAATTAGGTGATTTTAGAAGATACGCCGGTAAAATCTCTAAAAAAGTGTGTTTCTAGAGCAAAACGCGCAGTTTTGCTAGTAGTAGTACCTCAGTTAAGTTTTTCAAAATTGTTCCACATTCAAACGACGATTTTGCGCCCCCCTCAGATAGCCCCCCCCCCCCCCCCCCCGGCCCCCTCCCCTCAACAAACTGCCTCCCCATAGGTGCACAACAGGAGAGTGTATAGACCTGCGTAAGTTATGTGATGGTAAATGTGACTGTTTGGACGAGAATGTCTGTGAGGATGAAACTCTCCTCTGTTCTGATTCTCCTTTCCAACAACAGTTCCTATTAGTGTCAGGTCAGTTTTGTTTAATCCCAATTACGCAATACGCATAGTATATTGTTCTCGGGTTGCTATAGAGTTTTTATGGTATTTGAGCAGTTACCACGAATAACATTATGGTTGTTTTCTTTGATTTGTTGTAAGTTTATGGGTTACTACCTCAGTGTTTGAGTTAGTAGTTTTATTTAAATTTTTAATTTTTAAAACTGCCCTTTTGTTTTTAGAGCAAGCTGAAGCAGCGTTAGAGAAAGCAGTTGAAAAACTAAAAAAAGCTCTTCAATCAGGTAACGAAACATACGTCTCTCAGCTGTGAGTCGTTCTTTTGAGACCAGCAAAGGATCTCCGTCTCTTATCTTGATAACAATATTTTATTTTTCCATGCCCATGGTCGCCTGTTAGAAATATTGTTAAATTCCAGTTTCACAAACAGTCAGTATATCATGACTTATCTCAAATCCTTAATTGTTTTGTAATTTATTTTTTATTTATAACTCGTTACTTGCACTATACTGAACAACTTACACTATTCAAACACTCAAAATAAGACACGATCGAATTTAAGGTAAGTTAATAGAAAAAGTAAGATCACAACTTGAAACGGACTACATTCAAAGTTACAACAAAGAAGGCAGGAGTCCGAGCACATTAAAACGATGACCTCACACTGTCACAGATAAAACGTAGATAAGACCGGCGTGCGTAAGTCTAGTACTACTACTAGCAAAACTGTGTTTATGGGTTACTAACTCAGTGTTTGAGTTAGTAATTTTATTTACATTTCTCATTTAAAAAACTGCCCTTTTTAGAGATTTTAGAGGAAGCTGAAGCAGCGTCAGAAAAGAAAAGAGAATCTCAAGTATCCTCCTCAGCAGACAATTTTGAAATTGCCCTTAGCTTCGTGTTGTTCATTACATATGGATTATGCTACATTTTGGACTAGACTTCTCCCTTACAAATATTTTTTGCCCAAATGAACTCATCAGTACATTTTGCAAGGAGAAAATGTTTTCATCACAATATTACTGTTTGTCGGCCAGGCTCCTTGCCATGTCGGACGAATCCATTTTTCGGTACAATTTGGAAAACCTGCACTCTTAAAGTATCTGTTCATTCAAGAATGAGTCGTATATTTTGATGAATTTTGTGAGTGTTCATATTTAGTCTTACATCTTGACAGTTGAAAATGTGACTTGTTATGTTTTAATGTTTAATACAGATATAAATTTCTGTCCATTGCATGGCCATCTTGATCTCTTTGATTTGCTATTCGGTCTGATTTGACTAAAAAAGACTTAGTACAGAAATAACAAGTGAAGACACCCTCTCAATCTTTAACTCATATTTCCATTTCATTGATACTTTTCAAAGTTAATGGTTCGCTTTTAGTAACCTAAAGTTCCCTCGTATAACCTAGGAATTAGGATGGTTATAGTTGTACTACTTCTCTTCTCCTCGATAAGACTGAGTCACCCTGCTCCTCCCGATCCTGCTCTTATAAAACAAGCTCTCAAAACATTCGAGGTTTGCTGTTTTTAATTACTTACTGCTGTAATTACAAGTTTTTTATTTGTAATTACCATGCTGTAATGACAATTTGATTAACTGTGTTGATTATGGTATTATGTGCATGTTGTGTACGTTGACCAAGATTTCTACCCTAAAAAGTATTATTTCCACACTATAAAATATTATTTCGCGTTATTTTATAAGAATACATCAATTATATTATTTATAATCTAAAATTGACTTAATTTATCCATTTATCATATTTTCCAGAGCATGCGGTCAGTGTATCTGGATCTTGGAATACTCCCATCCGAGATAAGCAGTAGAGTTGATAACTTTGTTCGCAACTATGTCCGCTATGTTGGTATGCTCTTATGCTGTTTATACTTTAGATATATTCTGTATACACTAATAGTCTATATTTGACGATTCATAACGACACAATTAATGAATTAATTGATTTTGTTTAAAAATGTTTCCCCAAATTTCCAATTAATAAGTGTACTATTTAGTAAAACTCTGTCCACCACACAGAGATAGATAAAATAAACGGTAAGACGTTCAACACGGGTCTGAACTCCATAGCCCTGCTGAGTGACCTGGAGTTACAGGAGATGTTCGGGGTAGTCCCTGACAGCAGCTCCTTCCACTCCTTCCAGGTGTTTGTTAGTTTGTTAGTTTGTTTGTTTGTTAGTTTGTTAGTTTGTTTGTTAGTTCGTTAGTTTGTTAGTTCGTTAGTTTGTTAGTTTGTTAGTTTGTTAGTTTGTTAGTTTGTTAGTTTGTTAGTTTGTTAGTTTGATAGTTTGTTAGTTTGTTAGTTTGCCGGTTTGTTGGTTTGTTAGTTTATTTAATTAGTTTGTTCGTTTGTTAGTTTGTTAGTTTGTTAGTTTGTTAGTTTGTTAACTTTTGCTAGTTTGTTAGTTTTTTAGTTGTTTAGTTTGTTGGTTTGTTAGTTTGTTAGTTTGTTAGTTTGTTAGTTTTTTAGTTTGTTAGTTTGTTAGTTTGTTAGTTTGTTAGTTTGTTAGTTTGTTAGTTTATTAGTTTGTTAGTTTGTTAGTTTGTATTTTTATTAGTTTGTTTGTTTATTAGTTTGTTTATTAGTTGTTTTTTTTTTGGTTTTTTGTTTGTTTGTTTGTTTGTTTGTTTGTTTGTTTGTTTGTTTGTTTTTTTTTTGGTTTTTTGTTTGTTTGTTTGTTTGTTTGTTTGTTTGTTTGTTTGTTTGTTTGTTTGTTTGTTTGTTTGTTTGTTTGTTTGTTTGTTTGTTTGTTTGTTTGTTTGTTTCACAACTTTCCACAACTTTATGTTATCATTTTATTTATTATTTATCATATTTACAATTTTCAGAGGGATGATCAGGTGTCCAGTAAAGTAAACGAGTTGGAAGTTTTAAAGTCGAAGATCGGAGAGGATCGTTATAACCAAGCTGCTGTCGTATTCGCTGTTAGTTTACATTATTTAATTGATTAATTAATTAATTATTCAACTACTGCGACACTTACAATGTGGTTTTCGTTCATTTTACTCTTCGCCCGCAAAGGACTATTTAAAATCAAGTTTATTCACCGTATTTCATATTATCACAGCCATTCCCTATTTTCATTTCTAAAACCTTTTATTTCTCTCACTTTTGGTCCTTATTTTCATACCTCACTCATCTCACTTCAGCGATTACGACCATACTACAAAAAGCTCGGTGTAGATCACAACAACCAGAAAACACGTCTAGCTCAGTTTATTGAAGGCTACAATCAACAATTCTATGGTGCGCAAAAGTTTCCAGCTTACCAGCTTAGTGTTCTCATGACTCTCACTCATCTACGCTGGATTACAATTAGAGATAATTACCGCTTGTTCATTTTAACTATTAATACAATCTTTCGTTAAACAGGTCATATAAAAGGTTCTAGCTTGGACGAGATAGCAGCCAAAGCGGCATCAAAAAAGGACGTTATAGGATTACTTGGAGTCAAGGAGATAGAGCCCAAAATTTACTTAGACGAGGTTAACATTAAATGGACCTAAGTTCTCAATTTCTCATAATTTTACCTTTTTTACGATCTGCAGCGACTGAAAGAAAAATGAGAAAGTAGCTTCAGGAATTATTCTTTCTTCTTAAACTTAAAACAAATGAACACAAATAAATCATGTCAAAATAAACCAATCAACATATTTTTTCATTCTCACTTTAACTTTAAGTCTTGATCTTGCAATCTTGACTGTAAATTGAATCATCTTATCACTGAACTATTCAATTTCATCACTTCATCACTCTCGTCTCCTAGGAATTGTCTGATATCTCGCACGGTGATAAGAAGGTTCCAGAACCCGATAGTGCCGGACGTCACGAAAAAACCGTTTATTTTGACGATATTGGAGAACTCCTGAAATCTGAGCATTACCATAGCAATACTGTTAAGCAGTGCGAGACAGCTATCGCTAACAAAACTTGCGCGGTAATTTTTTTCTGAAGATTATTTGTTTGAATCTTTGGCAACTTTAAGTTTAAGTAATTATGTCAATCTGCATATTATCTGGACATAGATTGAATTAGGTTGAGTTTATCAACCATTTAATAGTATTCAATAAGTCAAAACCATTAAAAATACAGGTGAACAAAGACAATCTGGGAAGAGATGAATTTACAGGCAAAAATTACAAGTGTTTGAATGTTCGCATGAAGTTTCGCTGCTTGGAAAACGAGCTTGGAATCCCGGGCGAGTTCAGAGATTGGGAGAAATGGGGCTATGTCAGATCTCTCCTACATTACAGGGTCCGTTGAAAATTTATCGCGTGGTTATAATTTGGCATTAACAGATCTTTAATAGCAATTAGCAGTTGCATGGTCTGTGATTAGAGGGAAAAGTGAAAACATTGATCTGTGAGGAAATTTAGAACGTTGTGGGTTCAGGGTAATAATAAGTAACCGTTTCCAGTCTGCCACGACGATGCCAGCTGGGTGGGCTCACACAGCATCTCAGATAATGGACATGTACCAGCAGATATACGCTAAAATTGTCACCTACTACAGACGAGATCTTACTGATTTTACTCACGTGAGTCTTTATTTTCATTCTGTGTACAGCAAAACCCCGATTTACTGCACCCCGATTTACCACACCCCGATTTACTGCAATCCCCGATTTACCGCGACCATTTTTCCCCAAATAGGGCTTAACATACATACTGTAAACAATTGAAACTCCGATTTACCGTAAACCTCGTTTTATCGCGGCTTTTACCCTCCTCCCAAACTCCGCGGTAAATCTTGGTATTACTGAACTTCAAGTATTGTAAAGATTCTTGGTATAGTGGCGTTTTTAATGTTATCTGGCTCCTTATCAAAAGGTAGGGAGTTCAATCCCCAGCCTGAATTACCATTTGTTATTGAGAGATGGAGGGCTAAACTCGTGAAGCGCAGCCCTGGAGAAATAATATAGTCTAGCCTTGGTAAGAACATTTATTTTTTTTAAAGAATTAAAAAACAACAAACAAAATTTGTTTGTCGTTTTTATCTTTTAAAGATCATAATTTTTCAGCTGCTGAACTGTGTGTACGCAACTAACGGATTGGGGAGAGGTTCTCCTCAAGCAGCATTCCAGTACATCAGTGAAGTAAGTTATACTTAAAATAGGTAGGTCAGCAGCGCCGATGGGAATGGTGGACCACACTAGGTTGGGGGGGCGAACTTTGTTTGTGCGATTTGTTTTGACATTTTTGGTCAGTGTTGGATGGTTACTGGTCGATGGTTACTGGTCAATACAAGCGCTGTTACGAATTAGAAAAAATATGGTTCACCTCTCCACCATTATCCAGATCTATTGTATCTTTCCTTTTCACTAAAAGTTTTTTTGGGTCTCGTTCGGGGATGGACAAGTTTATTTAAAGATTTAAGGCAAGCCTAGCTTTGCTTACACTTTACAGCCAGTAGAGCTGAACCAGAATAATGATAAATTAATCTTGTAACCACCATAGAAGCCAGTAGAGCTGAACCAGAATAATTACAAATTAATCTTGTAACCAGTAGAACTGAGCTAGAATAATGACAAATTAATCTTGTAACCACCACAGAAACACGTTGTCCCCAAGTTCTCTTCAACAGAGGTCCCTGTGAACTGTCGAGACAGAAAGAAAAAAACCGATGATTGTTCGGATTACAAAGATTATATCAAAGATATGTTGATTGATAAAAGTGGTGGTATCTTCTACAAGTACCTTTATTTGTGGGATAAAAGCCGGAAGGGAATGAAAAATGAGTTTTGTTATAGTAACAGCATGGTGTTTGAGCCTAGTAAAACTTCTATTCCGGGTAAGTCGGATAAATTATAAGCAGCAGATAACCAGCTTGATCTGTTGATTTTAACTAAGAACTAAAATCACAGTGCTGGCAAGCACGACCGTTGCATTTATTGTGGGTATACTATGTACCCCATTTACTATTATACCCCCTTTACTATTATACCCCCTTTACTATTATACCCTCTTTGGTACACGTTACAAGCCTCTTTCGTGCACGCGAAGCGTGCACTCCGGCGGAGGCTAGGCGGCGGCCGAAGGCCGCCGCCTCCGGCAGGAGTTTTTCAGACATTAAGACTCATCGGAAGTCGTTCAGCAGATTTATTTTAGTTCAAAACATTCTAATTTGATGTCAAAGATGACAGGAATAAAAAATAGTTATGTTGAGATTTTTAAGAAATTTGCATAAAATACTCGCCAGCACTGTTATACGAAATTCGGTAAAAGACCCAAAATCGCCATATTCAGGTGCCTTAAAAACCATGTTAAAATTGAGTTAGAGATCTGAAATTTTTCAGGGCGTCTAGACGTTGACCAAATCGACTGCAAAAAAAGTTTCAGGTTTCAGGAACATCGGGAAGTGGGTTTTCTAGAACCCCTGTTTTATGACAGATTGTCGTGATATATACATATATACATATTCAGGGATAGACGCTTTGCCAGTCAATTGTAGCCTGTATTTAATTGTCCATAGATTCAAAAGTATAAAAGATACAGCCATTTCCGACCACAGGTCTTGAAAATAATTGTTTACACTTTAGTTTACATTGTACAAACAAATTATTTGACGTCATGAACACCCTTTGATGACGTCATCAAGTTAACCGTTTTTAAAACTTGATTTTTGACAAAGTGATAACTTTTAAAAATGATTTTACACCATTAAAAAGTAATTGTATTCAAAATCTGAGGAAATTTTCACATTAGATAATTGTTCAAGCATTCTGAAAATCTACCGGAAAGTTTTTCTAGCTTGCTCCTTCATAAAGATATTCGTCATTGAAGTTTGTGCTTTTTTGAAGAATTATTTTATAAAAACGTCAATTTTGCGATTTAGTATTCTCTGGTGTTGGGCCATGCCTTGGGTTGTGGAGCTCAGTTCTGCTTCCTATAGGTATAAATTGTGCATTAGGCTAGTTTTAAAGTTGAAAATAGAAAATTTGCACACGTGGGGACACGCCCAAATTGATAGAAAATCGCTAAAATCACTGAAAATTGCTGTTTTCGTCATTTTCTGTCAACTTTAGAGTGCCGTTGTGATTACAATTCTTCTTGAAATACTTTGAAACTTTGCATGCTTATCAAACTATATATAAAACAATTACATGCAAAAATTTACGGCGATTCAATATTGGATGCGCACGCAACGTCCGCTCAAAGTTTGCACGCGCGAAAGGTGAGAATTTTGCTCATTCGTGATTTCCAACAAATTCTGCTTTGCCACGACAGTTTAATGTCATTATATATGAATTTAATGCCAACTTGAATGAGTATTAAGTGGCATATTCAGTCAGTGATCGACCGATATGCTTACCTAAACACAAGGAAATGTTTTTAAAGGAAAAATTTCGAAATCGTTGAAACTTCCTCCTTATTAATGAAGATATCAGTTTATATTTCGACTTTATAAAGTACCCTGACATTATAATCAAAAATAGATGATATTTGACAAAAACCCATAATCATGGGTAGAGTGGACCGCTGCCAGTGTCTCTCTTTCCCAAACAAAAGGAAATGATATTAATTTGATTGACCGTTCTCAAATGCAAAATGATACCGAGAATGAAATCGGTCGCTCGCTTTTCCCTTACATTTACAATTGTAATAGACTATGAAAAACTACCCAAAGGCAGCTGTACTCGGCAATAAAGATTCAATAAACTTCAGCAGTAGTAACTACCACCTTTACCCCGAAATACTAGGTATCGACCCGAACACAACCCAAAGAGATTTTTACAGCATCTGATTGATGTAATTAATCGAAAATTATTACAATTCGAAAGCCGTGAATGAATGGGAAAAGCGAGCGACCGATTTCATTCTCGGTATCATTTTGCATTTGAGAACGGTCAATCAAATTAATATCATTTCCTTTTGTTTGGGAAAGAGAGACACTGGCAGCGGTCCACTCTACCCATGATTATGGGTTTTTGTCAAATTAATTATAAAAATAATGCACACTGATATAATTATGTTTTAGGTACTTCATAAAACTCTTAAAACTGGTCCTGATTTTTAACACTTCCTGTGTCTGAAACAATGCTTGTTGAAATATTTTTGATGAGAAACTTTTTATCCCCGCAGATGTGTCGTTTTTGCCCGGAAAAGCCTACATTCAGTTTGCCGACACATCAAAAGGTAAGAACTTGAACTTTCTTCTTCTTAAGAACTTGAACTTATCTACTTCTTTAAAATGCCTTTACCTTGCATTACAAAGAATATTAAGAGGAGCAGACTGAAAGTTGGAACTTTATTTCTTTTTTATAAGCACTCAATTGATCAGCCTATCTATCAGTTGAGGTTTGGACTGAATCAGATGGAGGAAACGCCCTCACGTTTCGTGGATCCGTTTACGGTGAGAACATTGCAAAACCGCTTCTCTACAAGAAAGGACCCTTAGCAGTAATGATGTCTGCCTGCTACGAGATATTCGGATATACGGACGGGATTTTCGACTACGATTGTGCGAAATCTTTACACCGATATTTACCACAATGGGTAAAGAGTTATAATTTTCTTTTTCTTTATTTTTACGAGTTTAAATTCTTTCGTTACTGTAATACAACAAATCATTTTAGATGTTACAGATAAGTATGAATTATGAATAATTATTATTGTCTCCCTGGAATATGTCCTGTTATAGAAGGTTAAATTTCATATCAAATCTCTAATATTCTGCCCATGACACTACTACGTCTCCAACAAACTCTATCAAATCAGGTTACGATAGTATCGTACGGTACCACTTGGTTTGGAACAGTCCTACCCAAGCTTTATAGTGTCAGCAATACTTTTGGTGTGGACTATCCGACTGTGTTGAAGTAGAATATTTATTTTAATTTCATGATGATATTGTAGTTATAGTGGTAGTTATAATTGTACACTTTTCTAGGTCTATGCGCCTCAGTTGGAAAGTCAAATAATGCAAAAATATCAAATGTAAAATACATATAATATCTATAAATCAACTTAATCTTCAAATACCTAAAATGAGCTGCCATCTGGTTAAAGTTGAGCGAATAATACAAGTGTTAAATACATAAATGAATTTATATAATATAATGCTACTTTCAGGGTATCTCGTAAAGATAAACACACCATTATATGGGACTCATTTGTGCTACCAAGAGTGACGCCAAGTGTGACGCCATATAAAGATTCTCTGAGTTGTACGAACGGAGGAATATATTATCTCACTGATGAAAATGATGGCAAGTGCTACTGTCCTATGGTGAGTCAGTTTGTGTCTTGTGATTGTGTGTTGAATCTTCTCGACATGACGGAATTAATGTCCCACTTTTAGTTAATCTTGTCTTTTTATTCTGGTATTTCTTTACAGCCAAATGTTGTTTTGTACGATTTTATGTACGACAAAGATGTAGGACATAATTTACCGTTTTATTTTTCAGAATAAAAAAGGTCAAAGGTGTCCAGATGAATGTGAACTGACCTATCTCACTGATGGAAATGATGGCAAGTGCTACTGTCCTAAGGTGAGTCAGTTTGTGTCTTGTGATTGTGTGTTGAATCTTCTCGACATGAGTATGACGGAATTAATGTCCCACTTTTAGTTAATCTTGTCTTTTTATTATGGTAATCTGGTATTTCTTTCTATTCGCCAATCTTTGAATTGGAAGCGCGGCTTTTATCTCACCTCACGCTTCACAGCCAAATGTTGTTTTATACGCTACAAATGTACTATTGTACTAAAGATGCAGGACATAATTTACCGTTTTATTATTCAGAATAAATACGGTCCAAGGTGTCAAAGTGAAAATTCAGAATGTGAACTGACCTATCTCACTGATGGAATTGATGGCAAGTGCTACTGTCCTAAGGTGAGTCAGTTTGTGTCTTGTGATTGTGTGTTGAATCTTCTCGACATGACGGAATTAATTTCCCACTTTAGTTAATCTTGTCTTTTTATTCTGGTATTTATTTTTATTCGCCAATCTTTGAATTGGAAGCGCGGATTCTATCTCACCTCACGCTTTACAACCAAATGTTGTTTTATACGCTACAAATGTACTATTGTACTAAAGATGTAGGACATAATTTACCGTTTTATTTTTCAGAATAAATACGGTCTAAGGTGTGAACTGACCTGTGAACTGACCTGTGAAAACGGGGGACAGGTCTCCCGTGGGAGCTGTGAATGTGACTGTAACGGTCAGTTCTACGGGAAACGCTGCCTTAAAAAGTGCACGTGCAAGAATTCTGGGAAGTGTGACGCGCATGGCAACTGCATCTGTCACAGACAGATAAGTTGGGGGACACAATGTGAGAACCGGTGCGAGTGTCAGAACAACGGTTACTGCCACAACGACGGCTCCTGTGAGTGTATGGCCGGATTTAAGGGACCCAAGTGTTCTGGAACATGCGCTAAAAAGTGCCAGTCCCCTAAAGTGTGTCTGTACTCCAACTCGCGCACAGAGTCCGGTGATCAAATCAAGGAGTTCTGTGGGTGCCCACACGGCTTCTACGGAGAAGGCTGTCTCAACAGAGTGGACTGCCATCACAACGCAGAGGGGAGAGAAGGCAACTCAGATCTCTGCAAAAAACTGATGGGTAGAAATAGGTGTAATACTGATGAAGCGATGAAGCAGTGTCCCCATGCCTGTGGGCATTGTCTGACTCTTGATGTAGCTACTGAGTTTGATATGTAGTGTTTATAGCAGGACCGACTGACCGAGGGACAATTTTTGACCGAGGGCGAGGACTTATTCGACCCCTAAACCGAGGAATGACTATTTTGGCCGAGGACTTAGTCGACCCCTAAACCGAGGAATGACTATTTTGGCCGAGGACTTAGTCGACCCCTAAACTGAGGAATGACTATTTTGGCCGAGGACTCAGTCGACCCCTAAACCGAGGAATGACTATTTTGGCCAAGGACAAGTCAAAATGGCCGAGGTCGCGGGGCTCGGTCGACCCCTGGTTCAGAGCCGAATTTTACGACAAAATTGGTTGTCTCTATCTTTATATTTAGTGTTATTTTTCATCAGTACATTCTGATTCATCTTTGAAATTTGTATATTTTCCAAAAATCAATTGAATATTTCTAGAGTTTTGTATTCGAGGAGTATGAATGAATTAAAACACTTGACTCCATCCCTCTCAAAAATGTAATTAAATACTTACGAAGACAGATGATGACAAAGAAATTGTAAATGACACAGTGACACCTAAACGATTAATACAGATTACTTCAAGCATGACAGTTGACCACAGGTAATGATACTGGACGGATCATTTCTCCTCCTCCTCCTTCTTTTTCTCAGAACTATTCACACAAAAGACTTCTACTTTTATGCTGATGTTCGCTGGGACAATGTAGACCACTTCAAATCCCATCCCGAAACGATCCCATACAATCACGGTCTACGAATCATCCCCGCACTTCATGTGGCACTAGAAAAACTGAAAGTCCTGCACCTCTGGTCCGCCTCTCCAAAAGTTAACGGATATGTCACAGACAATTTCTTCTACCGGAGTAACTCAGAATTCTTAGCATCATGTAGAACAGTGAACAACACTAATGGTAACTGGGATAAACCCTGTTATCTCCATGCTAACTACGATGTCGGATTCTGCTCGCCTGAAGAACTCACTCCTGCAGATGCCTCTGTAGCCACGCTCCACTGTAAAAATAATCCTCCCGAGGACCACGTGTTCTCTTTTTTGTCCAATCAGACTAACACATCGTCTGTTAGCTTGCCCATGCTCCCCGAGGGAAGTGAGATAAAGCTTGTTCTTCCTGATGGCACCGGACTATCTCAATCTCACCGGGAGGATTTTAACAATAAATTTAGCGAGGAAGAGCTTTCAGACAATATCTCTCTGAAGGAGATGAATGTGAGGATAAAGTTTATAGCTTGGCTTTTAGGGGACGAGTTTGCTGGAATTGTTGGGTCCACTGATAATGCTTATAATTCTGCTCTGATTTCCAGACGGCTGGGTGTTCCGAACATTGTACCGTCTGTTACAGATAGTAAAGGTATGCTTTGCAATTAGTGTGATATACAAATTATTACTATTTTCCTTGGCGATATCGCTATTTTAAGTTTTTTATCAATACATTCAAGATTTTAAGGGATTCAAATATTTCTCCATTTCATAGTTGGGAGCAACCGTTTATAGACCACCCATACAATATATAAGTACTTAATTCATAACCTTATCAGAACATTTCATTGATCAGGATGGATTAATATATTATTTTCTAAATAATGCCAATAATATCAAATTATAAAATCTGTAAGTCTGCAGGAATGTGGCCGCTCAGAAGTGATGCTAACTTCGAGTCTGGTATACTTGATAACAGTTTAGTTCTTGGTTATGAGGATTGGATGATACTGGACATGTTAACTTTCGTAAGTGACCTACCCAGCCATAATTAATATTTTATAAGCGCGAATTAAATCTTTTCTTCTTTTTAAAAGGTACCATGCACTTACATTTTGTTTATAATTACCCTTGCCTAATGCTTATCATTACCACCATATAATATATGCGATTGAACATTATCCCTGCTTAATGCTTATCATTACTCCTGCTTGTTATTACCCCAGGATTATCCATTACCCCTGCTTGTCATAACCCCATGATTATCCATTACCCCTGCTTGTTATTACCCCAGGATTATCCATTACCCCTGCTTGTTATTACCCCAGGATTATCCATTACCCCTGCTTGTTATTACCCCAGGATTATCCATTACCCCTGCTTGGTATTACCCCTGCTTGTTATTACCCCTGCTTGTCATTACCCCAGGATTATCCATTACCCCTGCTTGTCATTACCCCATGATTATCCATTACCTCTGCTTGTCATTACCCCAGGATTATCCTTTACCCCTGCTTGTCATTACCCCAGGATTATCCATTACCCCTGTTTGTTATTACCCCAGGATTATCCATTACCCCTGCTTGTAATTACCCCAGGATTATCCATTACCCCTGCTTGTTATTACCCCAGGATTATCCATTACCCCTGCTTGTCATAACCCCAGGATTATCCATTACCCCTGCTTGTCATAACCCCATGATTATCCTTTACCCCTGCTTGTCATTACCCCAGGATTATCCATTACCCCTGCTTGTCATTACCCCAGGATTATCCATTACCCCTGCTTGTCATTACCCCTGCTTGTCATTACCCCATGATTATCCATTACCCCTGCTTGTCATAACCTCAGGATTATCCATTACCCCTGCTTGTCATTACCCCAGGATTATCCATTACCCCTGCTTGTTATTACCCCAGGATTATCCTTTACCCCTGCTTGTCATAACCCCATGATTATCCATTACCCCTGCTTCTCATAACCTCAGGATTATACAATAGTCAATATACATTACCCTGGCCCTGCATATCATTACCCCAGAAACTGTACCCCACATCTCCAGATAATCAGTGAAGCTGGTTGGTCAGGAGGCTCAATGCAGATACTCCATGAGTCTGGGTACAGTGAGCGGCTCGCTTTGTCAATACGATCAAACTTACAAGAGGAGTTGGAGAAGAGAGTTGGTGTGGGAGATAATATCAGGATTACTAAAGATATGTATCTGGATAGGATCTCAACTTGGGATTATTACGTACCTGTTAGTGAGAGGGGATCTGTAGAGGATGTTCATTTGTTGCTGGATTTTATTCCATCTAGGACAAGAAGTAAGTTTTTAACTATGTTATTTAATCTTTTTATCACCTATTTCAAAGTTTAAGCAGGCTGTTAGCTTGTAAGATTACTATAAAGATCTTGAGCATCTAAAATAACTAACTTCTCTTTTATGTCTATTCATTTCAGTCATCCTCATCCTCGGAAAAGAAGACTTCATCAGACATACTCTTCAAGAACTCCACCTTCGTAACATGTACAAAAGAAACATCACGCACTCAAGCAATTTTGATCACACTGACGAGGGAATACCTGACGTAGATGATATTGAAGGATATTATCAGTTTGGTATCGTGATAATACCTGATAACGGTGCACCGTGTGGGGATATGATCCGACCCTATAGCGGAGGAGCTAGTGAGACTGAGAATATTATCACTCAAGTATTGGATGTGAGTCAGAGATTGAGGATTAATACGGGATAGCAATAGTGTACTACAATCACTGGGAAGTTTCCTGTGATTCAATTTTACTTATATTCTTTTATCTTAACTTTTTGTTTAAATATTTCTAATCTGTTCTGTTTTAAATTGTTTGATTATTTTATTTTTAGGGCGCGTTTTTGCTCTGCCACAATGCACATAACCGGAATACCTGGCGCTACAAAAACCCAACATCAATGTCAAATGACGGGAGTAACTCTCCTGGTAAGTTTAGGTGGAAACTAGACCCTCCTTCAATGAACACGTTGACACATTTTGACGAGGGTATCGGGGAGGAGAGTTACAGGCTGAACAGGAGATATTTGGTCAGGGAGGATGAACTGACTTGAAGAACTGGAATATTTTTGAGTTAGCTGGTTTGATATTTTCCTAGATATAAGATGATTCGCTGGTCTTATCTGCTGGATGTAATTGTTTGGGCAAATATAAACTTTTTTTAACATTTTTTTTTTAATTTAAAAAAAAAACTTGAGTTCTTCATCAGAACTCAAACGTTCAGACAAATTCTCAAAATTATTATTTTCTGTACATTAGTCTGAATAGTCAAGGGACTATAAATAATGTCAGAATTTTATTCTCACATTCCTTTCTTCAGAGAGGAATTCAGAGAACAAGCCTCGTCCGCACTAGGATTCTTGTATCCACCGGATCAATCTGTAGGTCAACTTAATCTTCTAGTTTCGTTTATGATCGGGGGGGGGGGGGGGTAATGACTACTTTTGGGGACTTGGGGAATTACGTCAATTCCCCATGATTTTTAGTCCCCATTAGTCCCCAAAAGTCTCCATTAGTCCCCATTTAGATTTCAAAAAATCTGGCTTCTCCAGACCAGATCGTAAACTTCTCAAGACTGAAGTCTAGAATATGTATAAATATGGTCACTGGACATTCCTGACTTCTTGGGAGCTACTTGAGGGCTGTTAGAGTACCTCAGGTTATTAAACTAACTTGAAAACCATAAATAACTGTCAAAAATTCTGGGGACTTATGGGGACAAATGGTGAATTACGTCAACGAGTCGAGTCCCCACGACTTTTAGTCCCCATTAGTCCCCAAAAGTCTCCAGTGGTAGTCATTTACCCCCCCCCCCCCCCCCCCCTTATGATCCTATGATCTCAAACTGTATCGTTATGATTCAATTTAAACTTCAGAACTTGTTAAACGTCTACCGAACCAAATAGTTTAGATTTCTTTTTTGCCTCTTAAGATTTCTATCCTGATCATGATTTATTTTCACTCAAAACCATTTCGCACTCCTAATAGTAGTCTGCAGGTGTCAGGTTTAGCTGGATTCGCACACGACTCCCTCATTTGGGGAATGTTCACCGCTCTTCTCAACAGAAACCACCCCAACTTGTTCGTCTCCAGATCCGGGGAGTTCACTCTTGTTAATCTGTACAGTGACGGAACAACTCATCCTAATACTAGGAGTTATCCTACTGCTGATATGAAGCCTATTGGGTGGCCTGGTTAGCATTTGTTGTTAATTAACTTAAAACTCAGATCCATTAGATTATATCTTTGGAGCATGGCAGTCATGTAACGAAATAAAATTAGTATGCCTTTCAAATTGAAACTTTAACAAATGAACAGTTTTATAATAATTTGTAAAACATGCAAAATGCAAACGATATTCGCGAACATGATAATTAATTATAATTAGTACAATAATTAATTATACTTAATTATAATAATTGCAGGTATGTTTGGTGTGGAGAGTCCGCCTATATCAGAGTACAACACAACACATGTCATGAAGAATTCTTCCTTCCTGATAAACGATGGCCCGTGGCATGACATTGTTAACAGATACACTTTCAAGGATAATAGGTTAACATCTTAATATTACAGGGATGATAGGTTAACATTTTTAATATTACAAGGATAGCAGGTTAACATTTTTAATGTTACAAGGATAAAACGCTAAAATTTGTAATA